AGAAGACTGAGGAGATGTGACAACTAAGTGTAGTGCATGAGCTTAGACCAGGAAATGAAAATGTAGCTATAAAGGCCATTAATGAGGTAATTGTCATACTCGGAGCAAAGTGTGTGGATAAGATTATAGTACAAAAGTAATGTTAAATTTCCTGACTTTGAACTTGAGCTGAGGTTATGTAAGAGAATGCCTTTGTTCTTGTGAAATAACTATGGAAGTACTTAAGGATAAAGGGTAATGAAATCTGCAAATCATTCTCAAATGCTTCAGAAAAAAATATATATACATAATAAATATACAGGTACTATACACAGAGACACTAAGAGAACTATGAGTGATAAGTAAAATGTGGTAAAGTTTAGCAATTGATGAATCTGGCTGAAGGGTACTTGGGAGTTCTTTTACCATGGTTGCAAGTCTTCTGTGAGTTTAAAATTCTATAAAACTAAAATTTTCTTTAAGAAAGTATTTCTTTAATGAATAAAAGTCAAAAGGATAATCATTGTTAGAAGGGAAATACCTTCTAACCAATGGAAGTGCTGGTAGAACACTAGGAGAAAAATAGGGAAGTTATGCCAAATAGGAAAATAGTCAAGTCCATTTAAAACGTAAATGAGAAGTGAGGAAGCAGAGGGCAATAAAGACAACTTTGGATTTGGCCAATCTATTTGGAGTAGCAGCTAATGTGAGACTAGAAGCCAGAATGAAGGTGCTCAGTGAGGCAGTTAAAAGTTAGACAGATGATTAGCATCCTCAAAGGTAAAGCCCTTTCAATTACTAGAAAGGCTACAATTTAGTACCCACCCGACTTCACTGCTTATTCTCTTTCCATATATAAAAGGGCTCTATAAACTATTTTACTCTGTAAATCTTGAATGTCAATTTTTTTAAGTTGTAAATAAGAGATTTAACGTTATTACCTTGAAGCTTAATTCATGTTTATTTCCTGAAAAATAGCAACAGTTGACCATAGACTTGAGCTTTGAACTGTAACTGCATGAAGATTGTCGATTTTTTTTTGTGAAAAAATGGAAAAATATAACATGTTCGGTTCAAGTCTTAGACATATAAATAAATATTCAAGTCAGCATATAGAGTTTTCTATTTTAGTACTATTTATGAAGAATTTCATTTTAACAAATGCAATAATGAATCATAATTTTTTCTAAGAGCCTAAAATGACCTACTTATAGTATGTATGGTTTCACTGTTTAACTCGGTCTTTCATAAGATTGTTATTTATAACCACTTCTCTCAACCCTGGGGGGATTTAGTAGGATTAAAGACTTCTGATTCTCTTTGTATTTGAAGATTTTTTTTTCTCTCCATCTTTGCCCAGCTAGTGGAATCCATGATGAATTCTCATCTCCAAGGGGTAAGCTTTTTTTAGTAAAGCCCAGTAGCTAGCTTATGATTCCTTAGAAATAGCATTGATTCCTTCCTTTTCCTGTATTTTGTTTCCTTCAAGAATGATAGAATCTATGTAGATGCAATAATCATGCTTAAGTACTGCTAAGCATGTAATGGCTTTAGTTTTGTCCATATAAGTTATTTGTGTAATAAATATCTGGGCTCATATTAAATAAATAAATAAGCACCTTTAGTCTTCTATTTGTTGAATATGACTAAAACTGGAATGAGGAAATTGAACAATAGAGGACCAGAGCTCATGTAAGGATGAATATTAGAGTAGAAGCAATTTACTTGAGAGAATGACATCTGGTAGAGATAGCTAACTATGGACATAGAACAGATTTGTGGGGGGGGATTTGTGCTAGTGATCAAACTTGGGCATTGCACATGTGAAGCAAGTGCTCTACCACTGACCTATCACCCTAGACCAAAATTTTGAAGATGAATATTTTGAGGATAAGTAAGTTTGAATAATGATTAGATCCAAAGTTTCTCTCACCTTTGCATAGCTCCATAGAATAAAGATGAAGGTCACTGTGTTTTAGAAGTTGTGGAATTACAAAACTAAGATGTCAACTCAAAAATAAATTTTAATGGAAAATAAGTAGAATACAGTTAAAAGAAAACCAAATGAAAAGAAAGCTTTAACCATATGCTTGTGTTCTGTTCATTTGCAAGGTCTTTCAGTTACTGTTTTATAATACTGTTTTATAATATCTTAGGTGTATGCCATCTTCAAATCTTTCCCTTTATTTCTGGAAAGGAAATCAAAGGAGAAAATTTCCATTGTACTATACAGAGAAAACACTAAATAAAGAGTAAAAAAAGTATATGATAAATTTCATAGCAAATATATTAATATTTTACAGTTTGTTTTTGAAATGAATGTTCATGTATGTTGATCAATGAGTGGGATGAAGATTGGCAATTTTGTTTAGAAATATTTTATAAATTCATAGTTGTATTTCAGTTGCAAATCTCCTTTTAAGGAGGCTGCTTCAAAGGATGTCATTAATAATCTTCTCAGGTGCTTATAAAGCATGTGTCTGTCAGCAGAATTAGAGAATCACCCAACTAGAGAACAGGTTTCACAATACCCTGAGACCTATTTTGTTCATTAGAGAGGAAAATGGCTTGTTTTAAGTCTAAATTGACATGCTTGCTAATTTCAGCAGTAAAAGCTGTTCATTGTGGTCAGGTTTAATTTAGAGTCTGGGAAGGTTCAGATTAAAGCTGATCGAGTTACTTTTACAACATACTTCTCAAATGAACTTTGAAATCCTAAAAGAAGAAAAATGTGTAGCAGACCTTGAGGAAAGTTTCTAAAAGTGGAAAGAAAGTAATAGTCTGTTTTTTTTTAGGGAGGAACTAATACTAAATCAAATAAAAATAACAATAAATATAATATTTTATATAAAAGTTATCAAATATTAAACACAGCTTTTCATTTAAACTGTATACCATACCCAATACATTTGTTCAGTGCAGCATACATAGCCCCTTTAATGGCACCTAACTCCTGAAAAATATATATCAGCATAACAGAATGAGTAAATGAATGATTTTATATATTCCAGTTGCTATGTATATTTAAGTCATTTATTACATTTAAGGTAGACATTTGACTATCTGAGGTTTCTGGTTAAGTCTGTATTTAAAAAGAAAGCTCTATTAAATGTATTTAAACATTTATGATAGACACTTACAAAGCACTTTTTCAGCTTACTGTGTCACAGATGACCAGAAGTTAACATTCCAAACCCCCAAAACATCTTCTTTCCTAAGATCTATATGCTACTATAAGCTCCCTACTTTAAAATTTGTTCAATACTCTCTAACTTACTTATGCTACTTACTTCAATAGCTATCTTTGGCAATTTGTTCCATATTTCAAACACACTTTTATGTAAAGAAACCATAAAACTTAGGAACCTGAAAATTGAATTTTTCTTTTGAGCAATCACAGATTACAAATGCAGAAAAATTGTTAAAAGTTAGCCCCTCCAATTTTTCAATACAGAGAGAGAGAAATGCTCAAAATAGATGTATGATATTTGGATAGGATTTCCTCATTATTTTAATATTACCAAAAGCAATTGATCTTAAATCACAAAGCCTATCCTCCTACCTCTTCACAAAGGAAACACTATAGAATGATCAAATTTGGCTTTTTCAAAAACAAAATCCTTAGAAAAATCAGTAAAAGTCAAAGGGCATAATAGATGACTATTTCACAATTATTACTATTCACCACATTTTGTCTCTTCACTCTCATCACTCTAACATGGTAGTAGAAATAACATCATATTTAAAATCTGATAGAATTTCTGGCATGGTTATTAGTATAGTTATTATGAGACTAAAAATTAGAAAGTATGGGTAAAACACCTATCACAGAATGATTATAAACTACAAGTAAATATTAATTTTAATTTCCATAATTGAAATAAAACTTAGTTTTTAAATCAGAAGAAAGAGCTATATAATTTTTAATATATTTGGGAGAAATTTTGACCCTTTAGTATAGAGATACTCTTAGTCTGACGGAGTAGATGAACGTTTGAAAAAGAAGATGAATTTCTTAATAATTAGCATTACTATCTGTAAATTCAAAGGTTGTTGACTTCATTCTATTATTTTTATTTAAAGCAGTATTAAATCAAAGTAATTTATGCTAGAGAAAAGTATACTAACATCTAGAGTCTGATGCTCTCCAAACTTGACTGATGATAAAAATACAGAATTTATTTAAAATGCTGATTTAGCTGGGCATGCTGGTGCACACCTGTAATCTCAGGGGCTCAGGAGGCTGAGGCAGGAGGATTGCGAGTTCAAAGCCAGCCTCAGCAAAGGTGAGGCACTAAACAATTCAGTGAGACCCTATCTCTAAATAAAATACAAAATAGGGCTAGAGATATGGCTCAGTTGTCAAGTGCCTCTGAGTTCAATCCCCTATAACAGCAACAATAACAACAAAAATCAGATTTTCAGTGATTTCCCCTACCAATTCATTAGTCCTGGGATGGAGCAAAGGCATTTGGGTGATTTTTTAATAGACAGGCAACTTTGAGGAAAGACTGATTTACTAATCTACTTCATCTCTTCATTTTACATATGAGGAACATCAAGTACAAAGAAGTTGAATAAGTAATATCTCTTAAATCGTTTTGTGCCTTTCTGTTTCTAAAATAAATATACACTTTATCTGTGATAGCACACAGAATGACATTACAGGTATAAATAACTATCTTTTAAACACATTGTTATATTTCAGAATTATATTTCTTATATTGGCTTAAGTAAACCCATGTACTCTGAAATGTCTCCAGCTAAGCTCTTCAATAGTAAAGCAAATCTATAATCAAAGATTTTCACTTGAAATATTATTTGGGGTCTAAGAGTGAAATATATTTCTTGTTCAATTATTTTCTATGAAGCCTTACACAGTAAAGATTTATATCCAATAACATCTTTTTGATTTCTAAAAGTGTTTTGGCTGGTTTGAAAATTGTACTTTTCTTTGTATTACATAAAAGGAAAGCATAATGCTGAAGAACCCCAATATTAAATGATATTTGTTCTTTCAGGCAACACTGCAGGATTTGGAACAGAGGCGCCCACAGTTGGAAGAACTCATAACTGCTGCTCAGAATTTGAAAAACAAAACCAGCAATCAAGAAGCTAGAACAATTATTACTGATCGAAGTAAGTCTAAGCATGGGAAACTCAAGGCAAGATGGGTAAAAAGTTTGGATAACAATTTAGTTAATATACTCCCATTACATTTATCAAAAATAGTGTGGAATATTTGTAAATTGTAACTATGACACTGAAAAAGATTTTCAGTCCTTAATGTTAGCTTTCAATAACTGAATATAATTTCAGTATACAGAAGAAATATAATTTTCATCAATTCAGAGCTTATATAGTTACAAGGCATAGTGTGCTGGACATGGTGAGCATAGTATGGCAGAACATTTGCTCCTTACTTGTCATATTTCTGGGCTGGCATCCATAGAGATAGTACTCTCTCCTTCATATTCTTGGTGGTTAGTCCAACCAACAAGTTGCTTCCTAGTTTTTCTGCTCCTTTGATGCCCCATTGTGTAATATCAAAAATCTTTGCATCATACTAGGGTGGGCAGGAAGTTTGGGAGACTATAAGGCCCATCTGCCTAGACATTGTGTGTGATGTCAGTAGTTGTTCATGGGATTGAGGAGAAAGAGGGAGGAATACAGGAAATTACTCTCCATCCAATTGCCCATAGAGGCTCTTTACAGGGATGAGGACCTAGTCACCTCTGATATCAGTTCTGTAGAATCTTTCTGTGTTTTCTGCCTTTTCTTCATCTACCTTTCCTCCATGGGTACACACTGATAAGAATTACCTTTCTTTGCCTAAATATGTTGTGGAAGGGAAAATAGCAATTAGAATAAAAGGTTAGTATCTGAAAAATATTACTATTCATACTTGTACATAGTTTTGAAATTTTATTTCTATATTATTGCTGAAACAATGAATTTGGATATATACTAATATATCAGTTGAGTAACATTGGCCACCATAGCACATAAACTCCTGAATCTTGGTGACTTACTGCACTGAAAATTTCCTTTTCATTCTGGTCCAATTCAAAGTAAGTAGCCCTCTGTAAAGTCATTCAGGGATCCAAGCTCCTCCTGTCTTTTGTATCTGAACATCAGAAGCATTTGATAAGTAGGTGAGAAATGAGTATTACTCATGAGAATTTGTCACAAGCCAGGCCTAAAAGTGTGTACATTAATTTTGTTTATATTATGTTGGCTTAAACTTGTCAAAGGGCTGCACCTAACTTCAAAGGAAGTGGGGAAATAATATCCAATGTTAAGGTCAAGAATAAGAAAAAGATTTGGTAAGAAACTAGTCGATATCTTCTGCAATTAATTTGTACTAGGAAGTATACACGTATGTCTTATGAATCTATGTCAGTCATAGTTTGTTGTTTTTATATTCATCATGGCAAAAACAAAATTATCTTGTAATGACAAACATAAATTGCTGTTTAATTGATGTGTCAGTGTTCCTCCCCCAAACTCAAACCATGAGGGTTCTCCATGAGATTGCAACACACTGGCCCAAAAAAGTGAATTTACTCAGTAAGAGACTGAATTGCCATTGCATAGTTAAGTGATCTGGTTCTCACCTGAAAAATATGAAAATTTGATAAAGATGTTTATGTAAATATTAACATACTATATAGAAAGTTTTTTCTTAGCTTACTGATGAAAAACAACTTCTTTTTCCTAAGAGGAAAATAACACTAATACATTTTACAGTATCTGTCCAACATTGTCTAAACATTTTCCATTATCCCTTAGAATCTTGGTTTTTTAAAAATATTACATTGACTTTTTCATGATGGAGATTAGAGTTGAGTTATCAGAGGGCAACATTGTATTACTCTATTAATATCTAGTGAATTGAATAATTCTCCTTTTTAGGAATGATACCTTTATGAATATTTACAGTATAATATAAAGATCCTAATCCAAATGGTCCAAAAAAGCATTTTCTTAAAACGCAAATGTCTGTTAAATATGGCACATTGCTTATTAAAGGCCTAAACCAGAATCTTAGTTCCAAATATTCCTGGAGTTGTTAATGCTGGTACTAAGATAATTCTGACAAGTTATGTTTATCTAAACAATGTCATTTCCAGCTCAGCTATGCTTCAGTTTATCTCTCAATTTGAAATCTATGAAATAGGATGGAAATTCAATACTCATAAAGTTTCAATGGTGTTCCAAATAGAATTTTTCTTAGTATAGATTTGATTTTCAGGGAAAGGGCAGAAATAAAATACTTGCTCATAAAATTGCATTTTCCCATTTGACAATTTTGATCTTCCTTTTTTATTGCCCTGCAACTTCTAGAAATATCTGAAAAGGAATCAGCTAAATAAAGAAAAATATTTAATATGTGTATAATACTGTATTGATGTATTTTTCCCTCCTTGGTAAATCCCAGTTCATAACTTTGAGCAGTTTGGGAAATCTATACATAGTTATTACATTTTATCAAAAGAAAAGTTCAATAGAAAAGCAGTTCCTGTCTTCTAGCAATATCCATGCTAAACCTCAAATAATCAGGTCTACAAAATCCCAACCTGTTTTACTATGCAACACTATTTTCATGATATCTATTATTTTTAGGTAATCATATTGATTGAAATCATGTTATAATTTAAGTAAGATAATAAATTTCATTCTAAATGAGTTCACATAAAAAATTCTCCATCCTGTTTTCTGATGTTCGAATTGCTCATTTTTCTTCAATTCTTGAATTGTCAAACATTCCTGGTTATTTTCATCAGTAGAAGTTCTGGGTCAGGAGACTAAAAGAAGATAAAGGAAGAAGGACTTAAATTTGCTTTTTTTGGAGGTGTCTGAATAATGAAAAACTTTTATTTATGTCTATTAACACTGCAGAATATAATACCATTATACCTTGCAGAACAGTGAAGAAGATATGAAAAAATAACTACTCTGTTTCACAAATATTAGCAAATGTGGGTGGGTCCTCTGACATTTGCATTTGAGAGCTTTATTTTATAGCTTATACCTACCTCCCAAACCCTCACCACTACTACTTTAATGGTATATAGTAACAATACACACAGGTTTTGAGGGCAGATTGCCCAATCTAGATATTTGGCTTTGTAACTTTGAACAAATAACTAATCTCAGTAAACTGTTGTTGGTTTATTTTTCTATAAAATAGTTATCACTTGTGTCTAACTCAAGGATTGAGAGAACTAGATGAGATAACACATGTACAGCATTTGGATGAGAGCCATAATTAAAGTTCAATGAATGTTGGCTCTTGTTATTTGAATTATAATCTATGAGTGATTTGAATGCTTAGTGGGAACGTATTTAATGAGGTTATTTTTAGTAACTGGTTGATTATTTCACCACAAAAAAAGATTCAAAAGACCACAAGGAGAAGATTGCTTAGGAAAAGATGAAATAAGATATACAAATAGAAATAAACAAATATTTGGAAAAGCCTTTATTTGGGTAAGTAAGGAAATTCATGGAAATTATTGTATGTTCAATAGTCTCTATAAATTTAGGAGGTAGATATTACTATTCCCATGTTAGAGTCTGAGAACTAAGGCCCAAAGAGCTTAAATAATTTGTTTAGGGTCTTAGCAAAATGACAAGTGAGGGCCTAGAATTCAAGCTCATATCAATATGATTTTAAGTCATGAGGCATTTCAAATGGAAAAAAAAGATTCATCAAAAAATGGGAAGGTATATTGATTTGATAACTTAAACATTAAGACTAAACTCAAGTTATTATAAGCTAAATACAAATTTTGTAGCTCCTATTTATATTTCTATTTTCTACATATTTCATTTATAAGGTTATCTCTTACATGTGTAGTAGATATATATACTAGTAGACTCCAGTTACCTATTAGCTTTGTGACCTTGGCCTTAGTGTATTCACTTCTATATACCATGGTTCCTTCAACTGTCATATTAGGCTAATAATTGTACTTAATCTGCTAGGATGATTATAAAGGATAAATTATGTGATTTACAAATGTAAACATGTGACACATTCTAGATGCTCATTAAATGTACATATGTCATGGTGGGATTAATTTTATACACAGGAACTTGAGAGAGTAGATTATAAAAGGTGTACTATGCAGCCTTTTTATCAACTAAACTAGGGGAAGGTCTTCTAAAATGGAATGCCAACTGTAACTCAAGAGTTGTTTCTTTTGGAGTTATTTTTTCAGCTAAGGCATTTTCAAATGAGTCCAGAATTCTTTGAGAATTTTTGTGTTATTTTATTAATTTTAAGAAAAGGAAATCACATTGTATTGCTTAAATAGTTGGTATATAAGGCTTTAGAAGGGGAAATGCTCTTCTGTATGAGTATAAAAATATTCTCACAGGATTTTTTAATTAACTGACAGTTTTATAGCAGCTTTGTCAACCCATCATTCATTGCTGCAACCAAATACATGAAATCCTTCATAGCAAAATAGAAAGACCATGTTGTTTTCCACATTTTTATGAAATCTATTGCTAATGAAATGCCAGCCAATATCTTCCTCTCAGGTATTGTCTATTAGATGTTTGCTTATTTTAGAAGAAGTGGAGTCAACCATGTAAATTTTCTTCTTTTGACATCTAGCACCTGCTGTCAACCTGTTATAGCTACAACAGCTCTTGAAATTTACATCCACCAGGATGCCTCTGGCAACCAAAGAGTTCAATTCTGTTCAACAAACATTAGAATGCTTCTTCTGTGCCAGTTAATATCAGAGGTGATGGAAGAGATACAGAGAGTAATAAGATTCAGCCTTTGTCTTAAAAGATTTTACAATCTAAGGTGGTTCAAGAAAGACAGTCTAAGCTAGGTACTTTGAATAGAGCAATATTAAATGTTGTTGAGAGAGAAGAAAAGGAGTAATTGTATCTGAATTAAGGGTTCCTGGTATGCTTCCAAGAGGAGGTTAAATTTGATCTGGTCACGAATAGGACTTTCAAAGCAGAAGGAAGCTGAAGAAAGAAGGATATTTCAGGAAGAGATGATAGAATACATAATTAGACCCATGATAGCAGTGCTGTGGCAGATGAATTTATAGAGGTGGGAGAGAGAGAGAGAGATTGTGTGTGTGTGTGTGTGTGTATGTGTGTATGTG